AGGAACTTTCTGTTTTCTTCATTAGGCATTGAATCAAGCCAGATAAATCAAAGACTAACCATAAATTTAAAATCTGAATAGAATCTAAATAAAACTGATAGCCTCGAGAGAGGTCCTAGATAATAAGGTTCATACATTGCCAAGCTGAAATTCAGAAGGCATGTGCACAGCAATACAAAAAACTCAGGCAGAGTGCATGGAAGTGTGTGTGGGAATCACTTTGTTGCTGAAAGTGTAAGTGAGTAGATTTAAAAATCAAACTTAAATTATCAAACATATTTTTAGGATATATAAAGTGTAAAAAGTACTAGATGCGTCTTTTGACCAGGTTATTGCTGCAAGAAGTATTTCTCCAAAAGTCCTATGGAAGTAATATCTGCAGCTCTGGCTGCAGTCTCTATCAGCACATTCAATCCAAAATGACTCAAAGCAGGACTTATGCAATGTCAGTAATAGATGGGTCAAATCAGGGCCTGCTAATACTCTACACAAATGACATTTATGAAGACTGGATTCTGTTGATGACACTGCATAGGACTGCATTTGACAAGCAGTAGAGATAAAATGTAGTAATGCCCTGGCAGTTTGTCTGCTTTGTCCTGCTGCCACTCAGATATGCCCACAGCTTTCCCCATTTCAGTCCTGACATGCTTTTGTGGTTTTGGTGTCCTTACTTTTGAACAGAGTTACTGCTGATGACTACAGAAATGGTTCCAGTGCAGATGAGGTCTGAGTGACCCTAGTCCACAAAAAAAAAGAGCAAATGGAAAATGCTGCCAGCACAAGCTGAGATACTTCTGTATGTGTGGATAGATGCTAGCATTGATACTGTCATTTTGCCAAAATGTCTAAGTACCAATAAAATGGCTACATGTGACCAGAGAAGATGGAAATGGCATTACTAAGTCTGGGGGATTTTTTATAGAAGCAATGAATAATGTTTCAATTTGAGTCTCTGTCTTTTCTCACACTTCACTTTCTTCAAAGCTTTGTTTTGGACCAGGCTTTCTGCTAATCCTTCATTGTTCTGTGGGAGAGCTGCAAATCTCAGTAAATATTTATTTGGGCCTACAAGTGTTAATGAAGGTTTTGCAATGACTCATGAGAGCTCAGACTGTGATTCATCTGACTTCTACTGAAAATTCTTTCCAGAGCCAGGTCTCCCAGACTGAGCATGTCCTGCACTCTTGCATGCTGTATGCCAGGCTTCAAGATATTAGTTGCTGTCTGGGGTTAAACTATGACAGTCACTCCCTCAGCAGAATCCTTGAGCCTTTTAACTTGAATGGCTTTCAAAGTGATAAGATACAATTTAACTTTTAAAGTAGTTCTTCATACAGTATTGCTATCACTTCACTGTATTCCTATTTACTTCTTCCTGCAATTTATCCTCCAGATTACTATTCCCCTTCCCTTCTTGCCTAGCCGTGTTTTACACTCACAATTTAATGTTCTTCATGACTCATAGTCCAGGCAAAATGCCATTCATCCTAATAGAATGAAACAGAGTATATTTTCCTCCTATTAATTTACCCAAATCTGTTTTTTGTTCAGATCATTTTCTGTACTTTCAAATAAATCTTATTTGTTCCTAACATATTCTATCTGAGGATCTCATCACACTTTACAATAGATTAGGCCTTATAACTTTACTATGAAGCGTGTAAATACTGAGATTTGTTGGGGTTTTTTTCAAATGAAAAATTCTGTTTTTTGTTCAGATCATTTTCTGTACTTTCAAATAAATCTTATTTGTTCCTAACATATTCTATCTGAGGATCTCATCACACTTTACAATAGATTAGGCCTTATAACTTTACTATGAAGCATGTAAATACTGAGATTTGTTGGGGTTTTTTTCAAATGAAAAATTCGGATATGGATAACTTTTGAAATTTTTTAATGGTTATAAACTGGTAAATGAGCTGTGATCTTATTCAATATCTCATTATTCCTTATCCTGAGCTTAACTCTTTCTTACTTGGTACATAAGCAGATTTTCCTAGGCAAACACATACGTAAAACTCACACTTTTGGAGGTGAAAATTCTGGCATGATCAGCATCACATAACAAGTTTCGTTTCAAGCTGGGAAAGAAAGTTAGGAAACACAGTTCCAACACCCATGGCCATTTTAATGTTCTATAATAGTTCTGTATTGTAGGTTGAAATACTGATGTGGTCTGTTTCACAAAATAGCTTTATTTTTGTAAGCTGCTTGCCAAGTCTAGAGAATGAGCATCCTCTTTACAGGCTGCTCATAGATGCACCCACCAGTTCATCCCTTTTGAGCCTGAACATTGAACTGTGAGCAGTGGCTGTTTATCTCAGCCATTCCTGATAGCTTTTGGAGGAGAATTATGACAGATCTATTTCCAGCCTCGTATTGGGAGTGATGTGGTTGACCTGTGCATTATGTACTATTTAGGCATACCTAGGGGATATGTGGTTATTTTTCCTTTTGTCTCCTGTAAAAAAGGGTTAAATTAAAACAGTTTATTTGATGTTTTGCTTGCTAGGGGGGAAGTTTTGCTTATTGAGCTTTGCAGCAGCATCATTTATAGTTTGAAGATTCCTGGCTTTGGGTTTGAGTTGATGCTGTATAGGTGGTTTTGTAAGGACAGCTAGAAATTGAAGTTAGCCTTTTGAAGCTAATCAGTCTTTGACAGATGATCTACAATTGCAGTGTTAGGAAATGAGACTCTGCAAAGGAGTGCTTAAGGCAGGACTGCTCAACATCTGGGCAACAGGGCTGCATTTGGCCCACAAATGCAGTACTACTCTCCAACTTGTGCTCATCCCCAGATCGCATGAATTACAGTTGTATGTCAGCAGTACCTGCCTCTGTACTCAGGAGTTGCCTGCATTTCAGGGAGTGGTGTCGCAGCAATTAGCTGCTCAGACAGACATGGCTTGAACCTTGAGGTGGCTAATTCTCAGAACAGGATTTTTAACCAAAGTCCTTATTTCCATTAGATCCCTAATGAATGGGTCATAAATTAATCTTCTGTCACTGGCCCTCTCTTTCTTTAAGAATATTTAACCTATCTTTGCAAATGTAACTGTGTCAAAATGAGATTGAAAATGACCCCATCCTAGGAACCTGGTCTACCCACGTACTAGAAAAGTGAGGCAGTGCACCCAGTGGGCATGTGAAGTAATGCTAATCTGCAGAGGAACTGCACGGGTGATTATGGATTTACATTTGTTTCACAAGCAAAGCAAAACAAATTCCTGAAATATTTCACTACAAAATGTTTTCCAATTTTTAATGGCAACTGTAAGTCATCTCTAAGCCTTCTCAGTATCTCAACACTGAATTTAGTCAAGATCAATCACACAAATGTCAAATAGGCTCCTTCGCTTTTGATTTATAAATACATTTATGGATTGCTTTAGTGCTCTTGGCTACAGAAATCAGAAGCTGAATGCTCAGCAGACAATCCACCTTACTGCCAAATCCTTTCCAATGTCACATTTTCACAGGACAGATCTTCCAGCTTTCCCCTGTTGTCTGAATGTGATCTGCATGCTTCATCCAAGGTCTATAACTTTATGTTTGATTATATTTTCTGCTTGTGTCCAGTTGACCATGCCACCCAGATTGTTCTGTATTATTGACCTGTCTTCATTCTTCACAACTCCTCTAATCTTTGTTGTATCTCTAAACACCATCAGTTAGGCATGGGTATACTCTTGTTTTCCCTTTGGCATGTTTGTCTGTCCTATGAACCCTCCCACAACAGCTTCTGTACACAAGTCTGTTGAGGCAGCATAGTTCTGGTAAATGCAAGATGTACGAGCAACAGAGACATGGTGCCTTCTGTTTGCTCAGTCTGCTTTATGTTGGGCTACATCACATTGTTTCTGTTGCCTATGGACTGGGCCTCACTCTGTAAGCCTTACCAATAAGCCTACAATCATCTAAAAGTAACTTGATATATTTACATATATGATGCTGCCACAAAAGACACAGAGACACAGCACAGTGTAGACATCACAGTCCAGTTTCCAGGAAACAATTTTGCATCAAGAGTGGATCCAAGGATCCTTATTAAAGACTTGGGTTGGAAGGATTTGAGAAACGATACTTACTTCTCCACTGAGAAAACAGACTTTCTGTCCAGCTACACTGACATCTATGAGAGGTTCCTTATGATAGTCCTTCTGACTACAGGACCAGGATCTACAATCTGTACTGACAAATAGCTACATGAACTGAGTGCTTCCCCCAAGACTGAGATAATTGCACTCTCTTGCGTATCCTCAGCAGACAGACATTCCTCTTCCCACAGAACTGCAACTGTGTACAAACAGGAAAATATGGACTGGGAAAAGAGAACAGCATCAATAACTTGAAACAATAGAGTATCAGAATATAAATGCTAATGAGGTGTAAAATATTCCTTCTCCTTCTGTCCTTTTTTGCTAGTAATTTAATAATGGTCTTCTTGCAAACTATCAATACCATTATCTCACAGATAATAGTCTCATACAAACTACCTCAGGAAAGTATGATACTGTCTTCCAGAATGGCTACAAGCTTTTTCTCCAAATATTGCTGTAAAGTAATATGTAGTGGATATTATGCATTTCTGATTTAAAGTTGTGGTTATTTGTTTCTTATTCCATAGAGTTTGGTCATATGGTAAGACCAGTAAGACTATCAGATGAGCAAATACTAAATTTTCTATTCAAGAAAGCACTAAATATAGAAAAAGTTAAAGATTTTTATCATCTTTGTTATTGTATAGGCATGGATACAGTTTGCATTTGTTTGCATTCTTTAATTTTGCAATTAGTGCCCATAGTTAAATTATAAAACAGGTCAACTATGTTTTTTATATCTAGCAAGAACAACCAATTTTTAAATTAGAAACACCTTTTTGCAAAGTTTGGTTTCAAATGATAGAGCTTAAGCCAACCTGTGTCAAGTACTAGGCTAAGACCGAGGGTAGGACTCTGACTATCTGCTTGCCATATTACTTTTTCAGGTTTCTTTGAAGCACTTTGTACCAGCCACTGTCAGAGGAAAGGTTATGGACTAGATTACTCTGGACCCACCCATGCTGGTAACATCCCTGTATTGAAACTTCGCTTCTGAATTGCTGTCCTCTCTGTAGACTCCAGCACTAAATTACCTGTGAGTTTACTTGGGTTACTACCATCTTGTACATAATTTTCTTCTGTCACCTCCTGGGTAATGAGACGTTTTTAGCAACAGATTTTGAACTAATTCACAGAACTATACAGAGACCAAACTTTGCCAGTATTGCCATTAAACGGAACATTTCTTTTAATGTCAACTTTTCTTTATGTGTGGACCCTTGGCACCATCTAGTGTTTGAAAATGTAGACCAACTCCAGGCCACTGAGCACAGAATGTCACTACAAAGAGGTTTCAGCCATAATAAAAGCTAATGGTGCTCTGAACCATCACCTGATTTATTTCACACAATTATGCTTTCCAGGTACAAAATACAAATATACTAGACCAGGAAAATGGAACAGACTTTCCAAGCTCGTGATTTCCAATCTCTTGTCTCTCCCATGATGTTACACTGGAACTAATAGACCAGTTCAGTGTCAGAAATCGACATTTGTGTATCCACTAGTGGCAAATGTACAGTACTTTTCATGCAAATAAGATTGTTGTTAGATAAATTTTCAAGCGCAGGTTGGATGGAGAAAATTATTTTCTGCTCTTGTTCTAAATTAGTGGCAGCTTCTGACCCAACCATAACAGCAGCCCTCTGCATCCCAAATTTAGTTGCTGATTATCCCTCTTTCTAGGGAATGACATTGACCTTCCAGTTCTTGCATGAAATTCTGCAGAAACAGAACCAAAATTACATATACATGCACTGTATGTGTTACATGTGCTACTCTGCAAAAATCTACCAGCAAAGCTTTTTCTGTCAACATTTTGCATTTAATGAGTTTGCTACCAAAACATTTGTTTTAATAAGATCAGTAAAGCATGTATAGTTTTAGCATAGAATCCTATGGCCTCTAACAAAACTGAGACAGTGTAGTCTCTGATTTCTGGTACCTCGGGACCATTACTTGCAGCAGCTGAGTGCAAAGATCTATGTGAAATGTACAGTGTGGTTAGTCAAGTGTGAAAAGGGAAAATTGCTGTGATAGCAAATTGCGCTTCCTTCTACGTGCTATGAGAAACGTGGTCAGGCAAAAAAAAACAACATCCCTTTGCCAGTTTATGCCAAGCCGAATGAAAGCCAGGGAGAGGAGATATCATTTTTAACTGATAGCTTTGTCTTTTTCTTGTGACTCCATGGATGTGACACAGCTGCTGGTTACTGAGGTATTGCCAGGAATAGCTGAGAAAAGACAATCTGCTATAGATAACTAGAGCTTGAGGCAAAGGATGTGTGGAAGACAGAGAACAGAGAGGATATTCAGCGTTTAAATTAAACTTTATGGATTCTCATACATACACTGAATTTGGCTATGCATGGAAGAAATTACGAGTGCTTTCCTGGAAAAGTAATCAGCGGGACTAGAGAGCTTGGCCCATCATTGAGGAAATAATTGTGATTGCCTTTCCATGGCTGTTGAAGAGTTGAACACCTGGCATAAGGCTGTCCTGGTCACTCCCTCACTGGTCAATGGAGAGAGCATGTTCGGGAGGTGATTCATGCCTTGTCTCTAAGACATTTATTTTGGAATGGGTTGAATCCAGAGCTCAGAAGGTAGTTCTTCCTTTCCCGGACTGCACAGGAGACCAAAAGGGGCTTAGACACAATGCCAGTTTTAGATCATTTAGGTGGGATGAATCCTCTACTAAGTTGGAGGTAGAAGCAAGGTGAGAAGACACCTGAAGACCATTAGTGGTGTGAATTCCCCTCTCTGTTCTTTATTCAGCATACTGAGGGTGAAGGTAATAGGCATGACAGTCTTGAGACCCATGCCCTGTAAGTACATAAACTGACCTGCATGTGCTTAACATCTCTGTTCCCTACTGTCCTCTGCCTGTGCACTCCATTTATATTTGTTTCAGTCTGTTTTTGGTGTATTAAATGATCTGATGAATGCAAGGATCTACTCATAAAACCAGTGGCAGGATCAAGCCTTCCTCTGGGACTGATTGCACCCAGGTCTCTGTGCAAACTAATAGACAGGGCTCTACTTGAGCTGTATCTAGTCTGGTTGTGGCTGGTGGCTATAGGCCCTGAGGCTCTCTTTTCTCACAGGTGTCACAATGCGACGTCATCTACCCTTGTCTGTCCCTCAGAGTCAGCTCAAAACTTTTTTACAGGGCTTGCTTGCTGCAGTCCTTTCTGCAGAGGAGAACCTGAGGTTACATGGGTCACAAGCTGAACGTGAGTCAGTTACATGGCAGGATTGCAAGACAGACAAATGATGTTCTGGGAAGTGTTAATAATAGGGCCATACATAAGCCAAATAAGATAATTTTGGGGGTCTGTTTGGCACAGAGTTTTTCTTTCACAGCTGGAATAGAGAGTCCAGTTTTCAGCACTGTTTTTAAAAGAATGAAAAGCTGGAGAGAGCTGAGAGAAAAGCAATGGAGATGACAGGCAGTTCAGAAATCCTGAGCTCTGAGAAAGGACAGAAGGAAGTTAGGCTGAAAAAACAGAGGAAACTGAGGGAAGGGGAAATATAGCAGTCTGCTGAGTATGTTTTTAATTGTCATGAAGTTAATTCAACTGTTGGCTATGTCCAGTGCAGGTACAAAGTTAAAGAAGTAATTACCTTAATTTGTAATGAGAGATTTGGATGAGCAATTAGAAAAAATTTCTAGTTAGAAGGGCAAGGAGGGGATGCTGCTTGCAGTCATAGTGGAATCACCTTCACTGGAAGCTGTTAAAAAACAAGCATCTGTCAGGAATAGCTTGAAATATGTCATTCTATGTTGGTGCTGGAGAATGGAGCAAATGATACCAGGAAATCCCTTCCAGCTATAGGTCTCTTGTTAAGTCTTGTTAGTGCTGTCAAAATTCAGGAAAACCTGCATTTGCTCAGATGAAGTGACAGATATATATGACCTTTCCCATCAATTTAGCGATATGCCTACCTTTATATTTTTTTTTCCCCTAGAGCTTGCATTCTTTGGCTGCCTCTGGATGTGCAAATTGCAGTGGACTTGGCTACCAACCTGTGAGTATCTGCCTTGGACAAGGACCGTGCTGCCTTCCTCCGTGCGTTTCTCACCTCCATCTTGGATCACTGCACTCATTCTCATCAGAATAGAGGTAATCTGAGCCAATTCAGAAGTGTGCACCTGTACTATGTATTGTATCATACACAGCTAATGGCATGGCATGGGAGTTAATCAATGTAATGCCTTGTCTCAGTAAACAGCCAGTAAAAACTAAATGCAGCGAACCTATCTGAATGTTTGTATCACATATATTTTTAAAGAACAGATGAATACAGAATGTAAGGTTTATGAAAGATACGTTCCTCACTGAATTGTGCTATGTAGGGACCACAAGGGCAGGAGTCTGCACTTTACTGTGAAGTGCTTAAGAAGTTCTGAAGCTACCCAGATATTTGAAAGACAGTAATTATTTTTTTCTGTCTGATGCAGAAACAGAACAGGGGGGAGAAGGTTACTAATGGTGACTGTCCTTTGGTAAAAGGAAGACGCAATGGAGCATTAAGAATAAAACATTTCGTATGCTCCCATTTATTTGCTTGCATGGCTCCTGCTAGAGAGACCATGCCTCCAGCACAGAGTATAGATATCAGAATCCAGTATTAAAAGGGATCTTATACCTCACTTTCTAAGGTGTTTATAATTGTCAGTCATCCTGCAGATTTTACAGCTGATACTAAATAGACATCAGTTGATTGCCACATTGTGTCTTGAAGGTTATATGTGCCTACACTCTTTAAATATTGATCTTGTCAGATAAGAGCTGAACAAAGGAGTATAACATAGTAGTTAAGTGTGTGGTTCTTCCAGTCCTGCTGTATGGTATTTTAATTAGTAAGCTGTAATATTTAATAAACGAAATAGACAGATTTCCAAATTGGCAGGAGAGATAAATAGTGGAAGAGCTAGACGTACATCTGGTATGATACTTTCTTCTCTTTCTGTCATCTGCAAGGAATGTTTGCAAGACAATAAACTCAGAATTCAGTTGGGAAAATGGTAATTCTTTTCCACTCTTGTCATCAGGAAACTGAAGTCAGAGCAAAGTACTTAACTCCTGTTATCACAACCACAGATGTCTGTAGCATTACCCTCCACCCCTCATACCCCTAGATTGTTTGGCAAGTGTTTGCATTCAGTGAATTTAGCACTTTAGGATAGGTATGTGGACTGTACAGGCAACCTGAATGTTCATGAGTGAAAAAAAATAATACAGGAGTATTACAAAGGGTTGATTGTAGTTGCATATTACTTTATATGTGTTTTATTTCAAGTTGTCTGCTCAACAAGATTACAGCTGGCAAAATTAGTTAGGACCGAGAGGGATATTTTCAAAGTTCAGGAGTAACATTCCAGCTTTAATAGATCAGATTCTGGCCAATTCCATCACCATTTCAAGAGCGCCCGCTGCTGAACCACTGAGGTACTGGAGTGTTTTCCAGTTGGTTGGGATAAGAGCTACGCAGACTGGAAATGCAAAGCTATTCCTTGGTTTCTCCAAGGATGAAACTTTTGTTCTGCTAAGTCAAAAGGAGTTTTGCTACTGTTTTGAATAAAGACAGGAATTCTCAGCAAGGAGTGACATGGGTAGGAGGCAGTGTTTCCCCTAGCAGTCCCAGAGGAGGGACAGAGCCTGCCTTGCTGAGCAGCAGGGACTACAATGACTCCTCCTCCATCCTCCATCTGGATGGAGGTGCTTGTAACTCTCAGCTTGGTCTCAGATGCAAGAAGTGGAGAGGCTGTAGGTCATCCTGCACGTAACCTTCTCAGTCCTTTCACCCTGAGTATTAGGTTTAAGGAAGATCTTTAAGAAGTTCCAGCTGCTTCTGCAGGGGTAAATGGTTTCCTCTATGGTGGATCCTATAGCTGTAATTCTATAACATCCTGCCATGGTATCCACAACTGGGCAAAGAAGCCTTCTTTAGAGGCATGTGGTAACTTGCTGCAGAACCCTGTCAAAGACTGGCTGAGCAGCTACTTCTCTTTCATCTTCATGACCATACTAAGCACCAGGCCCACTGGCATGGGACATCACAGGGAAGAAATGAGAATCTCATCTAAGGACTTACTACTCCTGCGTTGCTGCTTGTGTCTCCTGAGTAATCCTGTTCAGCTACATACCAGTTCTGGTGCCAGCTCAGTGGTATGGTATGTGAGTTACCTCAGTCTCTGACTCCTGTTTGTGCCTTCTGTCATCTTTGCAAGATTTCATGAACGATTAATGGGAAAAATGTAAAGGACAGAGAGGCAACTAATCAACACTGGCTCCTGAACAAGGCACAGTCCCTGAAATGCATGTGCACAAAATCGACAACTCTTCTAAAAATGATTGCTTGCATATACAGACATACGAGTTGTTGGGCACCACAGTGTATGTGTTGGCTTTCGTCAACTATCCTGTTTAGATGCAGCTTTGAATGTTAGACATTAGGTGATTCAGTTGCCTAATCAGAAGCATCTAGTGTAGCTGCTGCTGCAAAAGGGCTTAGATTTCCTGTAAGTCCTTACCATACCTGCCAGCCCAGTACAGATGTCTTGAACAACCTAGGTCATCTAACATGACGTAGATCCCTAGCTCAGATCTGTCCTGAGCACTTCCAAGATGTCTGTGTAGCTGGGAAAATGGGATACCTTTGAAGTTTGAAGCTCGTATTTTCTGTATAGAATAAAAAGGTTTCCTTTGTCTTAGTTAAATGGATCATTAGGAGAACTATAAACCCTTCATGTTTTTGCACATGAAAGGAAACCCAGAAGGTCATGAGCTGTCACATGCAATGAGAAGCTGTAAGTATATAGTGTGTCTGTAATCTGTATGTAAACCACAGTGAAAAGTGCCAGTTTTTATGTCACCTGACTGTTTTCATGCAGTCAAAGGCTGGGGGGGTACTTTGACTCAGAATTTATGAGATTTCAGCAGCACCAAAGACCGTCACTGTTTAAATGTGAGTAGATTCTTGTGAGAACTCAAGCCATTGTGTGATAAGGAGAATGTACTGGTTATATGACTTGCATGTTTCATTGCAGTTTTCTACATTTATGGGTTTCTTTACAGAAATTATTTAAATATGCTTCATGCCATGTGACTCAAGCAATTTCATGAAAGAAGTGAAAGGAAATAAAATGGAAATAATCTGAAATCTTAATGATTGCTCTAGAAGCACATAATTTTGCTATGTATCTACAACAGCAGGATGATGAGGAGTTCTCAGATCTAAGTCCTAGAATCATGTTATGTGTAATGGCAAAGAAAAATGTTGAATTCTAAAACCCTAAAAATGTTAGCAAAAACCCCCCCAACTTACGATTTTGGGGTGCTGCGTCATGAATTTTGAATACTTGTCATTAGAAATACCAAAATAAGATGTTGGGCTTTAACTTGTCAGGGTCTTCAGCTTGTTATACCTGTTCAAGCACAGCACACTGTGTCTTGCTCCACTGGTCTACACTGGAAACCTCAGTTTTTCCAGTAGCTCCAGGCTGAAGTGAACCTGGTGCACCAGCAATCCCACATACCTCTCTTACTTTGTACTCTGTAACTTCTGTGAGCTCAACAGGAATCCCCTACACCAAGAGTGGATCTGTAAAGGCAAGTCATTGCAAGATTTGCTCACTCAGACGTCCAGACTGAAGGAAAAGCAGATGCAGGGAAAGGTTTGTGGATTAGGAAAGGGTGACTGCAGTGCCATGCTCATGTGGGCATGCACCATGGGCAACTTGTGGCATTTTGGCAAATGAGTGGGTTTGAGGGCAAGTTTCGAAGCCTTGGGTATATCCAGGAGGAGCTAATTCTGCAACCTTCACTTTTCTGGAAGCTTACTCTGTGAGTCACTTAACTGACTTTCACATCCTATTCACTGATTCACACAGCAATGTACAAAGGAAAGATGACAGAAGTAGCAAGTCTGGGATTTGTTTACTTGTGCCTCAAATCACGCATGCTACATCAAACTAGTGGGGTTCTCCTCTAACTTGGAATTTGAAACTGCAGTGGAATATTGTGCATAAATACGGTATTGAATAGCTTCCTTATGACGAGACTTGTCTTTTTTTAACACATGTATGCATTCTTCCTCTCTCAAAAAGTTCCTTCTCTCCTGCAGGGAAAGAGGTAAACAGGCCTAGAGAGAGAAGGACCGGGGCAAAATTGAAAGATCTACTGAAGGAAGAGAGGGGGAGCAGGAGGAGTGAGGGAACAACAGGTCATGCAGGGCAGGACAATAGGTATTTGGAGACAGGCAGAATTGTTTACTTCAGAAGTAGGCAAACTTCCGTAAACTCAGAGCTTTGTTTTGGACCCTTTTGAATCATTAAGAATGACTGACTTCGCTGGAATCTGTGGAATAAATTTCAAGGACGTGAGATCTAGGCCTCTAGTCTCCTGTTTTTCTGGGGCCTTCCTAATTTATCCATAGCTTTGCTCTAGATCCATATCTCTCCAAGGTGGAATTTGCTCTATGTGACCATAAAGGCCAGATGCTCAAAGAGCGCAAATGCACCTGCTCATGTGGGTGCATGCAAAAACTGCCTTGGTGGTTGCTGTTAGTGCATGACCAAGAGCCTTCTGTTAATTGTGTAGACAGGCAAGGAGAGGAGGGATGGAGCATGCACCGCATCAGCACATTGCACAAATGGATTGAACAATACATGGGAGGCAAGCTTTGTGCATATGCAACAATGGTCCCCTTGAAATGTTGCCACTAAGTCATTCTCAGGGATCTGTACATCTAAAAAGAATGATTAAGCAGACATTAGTTCAAATAATGTTTTGGGTTTTTTTTTAAATGAAAGGGAGATGATTAAGAACAGACAAGGTAAACAATTATCTAAGCAACAAGCTTTATTACAAAAATATACAGTGGGCTGAGAGACAATTTCATATGATGCCATTCTAAATCCTAAAAATCATGTTAGAAGACTGAAAAGCTGACTGGTGTTTAACTGTAATGGAGCTGTAACACTAAGACAAATTTATCTGAAGAAATATTAAAAGTGCCAGGATAATTAATGTACTTATAATGCTCTCTACTCTATTGCAAAGCCCTGTATTCTTCCCTGCTGATTTTTCCTCTAAAGCAAAATAAATGTTAGCAATAA